TTCAACCCTCCCTTGACATCCCTTCTGTCCCCTTTCCTAGGGCTTTGAAAGCGTTCAATGATCAGAATGGTCTTTGCACTCATTCTTAAGAGCTAGCTCCCAGGTGTCATCAGTAGGTTTCAGAATTTCCAGGCTTTTTCTTCCTACCCCTGAGTTGCTTAGGTGGACTCTGACTAATAGCTGGAGTTGTACAGAGACAGGATCAGACATCAGGAGGGGAAAACCATGCTGTATGGGCACACTGCGTGGCCTCCAGTGCCAGTACTGGCATCCAATGCTGAGCACTGCGTTTCATGTGCTCAGTTCCTGAGAAAAGCAGGCAGTGTGCTTGGTGCAAGCTCCATCGCCATGGGTGGGCTGGTAGCCCTCAATACAAGCAAGACCACAGCGGACATGCCCCTTAGCAGCACAGACCCCCTCCCCATTTGCTCATCACCACCAAATGCAACCAGGGTCCCCCAATTCAGAGAGAATCCCCCTGGGACAGGAGAGGGATAAGGACAAGTTGTTAATCCAGAATGACACCGGCTTTAAGGGCACCCCCAATGCACAGCACAACTGCGCCCAACACGTCATTTAATAGAGCTGTGGAGAGACTACAAGCTACGCAGCAGTCGGCTAGCCAAAGCCTTACAGTGCCACATGGCATCGCTAGCGTTTTGCGGATGTTGCACACGTGTTTTACAACCAGCTGCCAGCTGTTGGAGAACATCTGGGAGAATGGCAGCAGAAAGAGCTCCCCTCTCCTGGGGGAGAGGATCGCACTTGCATCTCCAGGGGAAGTGACACTTGAGCAGCAATGAAGCAGTCTTGCCTTTCCCATGGCCCCCTCAGCCCCCACTGCTGCGGCAGAGGGTGGGGGCAATGGCGTTTATTTTATATTTCGCAGCCCTCAGGAAAAAGAGGATTTCAGGAGGATTTGAACACAGCTCCCTAAATAGCTCCTTAGAATTAAGAGGTTTCACGGGGGATTACTTTGAGTGGCTGCCTGTGGCGGGAGGGAGAGGCTGGCAGGTGCTGGGGAGGGAAGGGGGCAGAGAAAGGGCAGGAGCGCTGTAGGTGAGCACAGGGGAGTGGGATCCCCTTCTGAACCGTGGCATGGGGGAGAGGGGAGCATCCCACTCCCCGGCCACGCACGTATCCTCTCTGCTGGGTGAGCCAAAAGGAATGAGGAGCAGAGTGGTGGTCAGCAGAAGTGACGCACCGTGGGAACAGCACAAAAGCACTTCTTACAGAGGAGTCACTGGCACCGAGCACGGAACGTGCCTTTCAGCTGGTATCCAAAACCTGATGTCAAAAAGTCAACACACAGATGTAGCTGCTTTGCTGGACTGGCCTGTAGTGGCATTTCTGAGGCATGGGGTGAGCTCGAGGGGCTATCCCCATCCCTGCCTTCTCTCTAGATGGGAAACCTGCGTGTGATGGAGGTGGGAAGGCTCTTCTAGCACTAAAGATGGGATGAGTTTGAAATGCTGGAGGAGGGGATCAGTCAATCAGATTGAGTTTGACTAAGGGCAAATTCCTCCCTGCAAGGCTATGAATGCCTGACTTCGCAGATCCAAACATTCATGGTGGAAATAAAACAGTGCTAAACCAGGAAAGGCCACAAAATCTTTCGGAACAGGCACAGCTCTGCAGAGACTGGTGGAATATGGGTTGAAATGTCTCTTCTAGTAATACCAAGAGATAGCATTGCTTGGCACAGCGCTTTCTGGTGCAAAGAGGAAGAGAAGATAGCTGGAACTTCATTATAATTTTGATATTGGGATGGAAATTGGTTCTTAGGGACCGGATCCTGCAAAAAGCTGAGCTCCTCCATGGGGTCCTGAGCTCCAGCTTTCAGCAGGCAGAAGGGTTGAGCATGTGCACAAAGAGCGGCTGAGCCACAGGCATGAAGGAATAAGTAATAGGGCTGGAAGGAGAGAACATGAAAGAAGCAGAGAAGTGAGGCTGGTAATAATAGAGATATAAATGAGGAAAGAATAGAAAGGAGACGAAAAAGGAAGGAGAGCTGTAATTTGACAGTAGTGGAAGCAAAAAAGCAGGAAGAAGCAAGCTGAGGTAGATAATTGCCACTGAATGGATAATAGTGGGGAAGAAGTGAGGCAAGAGAAAAAGAGCAGGGCAGGAGGGAGAGCAAAGGAGAATGTCACAGGCAGGAAACTGAGCAAATGGTTAAATCTCATCAAATACTGCTATTATGGCAGCCCATGTGTGGGGTAGCCCCTGCTGCTACACCTGGAGTGATGTTCTGCATCTGCCACATGCAAGGCCACAAGTCAGAGCGATGCTAGGACTAAAATCCCAGCAGGAAGGAACTGGAGATTTAGGGATTTCCTCAGCCACCAGAGAAGGGACTTTGTTTTCTGGACCCTTCCTTCTCCAGTCCCCTGGAGAAACAACCTGGATAGCACAACCTTTTGAAAAGCTCTCTCAGCAACTGAGCTCTTTGGCCAACAGTTTCAAAAATGACCACTGACACAGATTTGGTCTACCTCAGACTTGAGCTGCCCCAATGAAGCTGGAAAAATCGGGATCTTCCATGGTTTTAAGGCCTCGCTCAAGAATTGACTCCTTTGCCCATCACCCACCTGCACAACTCTCAGTCTCCATTTAAGGGGAGGGAGGTAACATGTCCGGGATGCACAGGCAAAAGCAGGTTTCTAGTAAAGGTCATTACTGGAAAGATCAGAGGTTAACATCTGTTTTCAACACAGATGTCCCTCTCAAAGGGCATAGATGTATATAAAGAGTGATCTCCTTTATTCCCCAGTTTATAAAAATAGGTGAAAATGGAATAGAAAATTTCAGCTATGCTAGTGCTAGCAATTATGGCACAAGAAAAGATGACATGTCCGTGACTGGCTGAGATTAATTATGATGAACTATGATTGCAGCTTTCAGTGTTTGGTGTTCGATTTTACAAGACCAAGCCTGTAAATTCAGCGTTTCCTCACGTCTGTTTAACAGCTGCGATTTTTTTGACACAAACACCCTAACGATTAGGTGCGGGACAGGGCACGATCTCAGCTTGTGATGTTGGAGACTGCAAAACATGCACTCAAGAGCCAGGACACAGGATGTGCCACATGTATATATACAAATTGGTTACACATCTAAAGCAACATTAATGGAGATGCATTAGCGAGTTGGCAGGGGAACCAACCCCAAAGGTGACTGACGTCAGCTTTAACCAGACAACTCCTTTCCTCTTTACATTACTGATCCTCAGGCTGGGAGACCAGTGGAAGAGCGGGCTGGCCCCATGCACCGGCTGGTCCCAGGGACAGGCAGCACAGGGCAGCCCACATCCTTCTGCAGCGCCTGTCGGAGCGCAGGGCAATTGTGCAAAGGCTCATCACTCAGCTGGCACCTGCGGTAGGACCCTCCGGGGACTTCAGCCTGTCACCTACAAGACCAGGCCCTTTGGTAGGAAGTGTGAGTGGGACGTACCTTTTCTTGGACACTCATTTATGAATTTGTTGGTTCTGAACTGAACCTGGGAGTGCGAGCAGACCTGGGAACGCTGTCAGGGTGCTAAGGGAGGGGAGAGACGAATTTGCACTGTCACACTGTGCATACACATGTATGATGGGTGCTCATCAAATGCTCCGAGTACATGGCTATCTCCACATGGGGTCATTGGGAAGCTGTCACAAATGGGAGCATCACTGTCACACCTGCACATGGTGCTATGATGAACCACCTCCTTTCTCAAGGCTTCATAACCAAGAAATATGCTGCTGCTTTATGACTGCTCTGAAACACTTCCCAGCCTTCTCTGAGGTGTTATACATTCCTCCAGCATCATGTACAACAGCTCACGGCCTCCTGCTATGTGTGTGCTAGGAGTCAGGATGTGCCAGCACCAGCAGCTGCCTGTACAGACACTTCCCAAGGGAAGTTAGCACTGGTTCACAGGGGCGGCTTTAAGCAGGGTGGCTACATCCTACCAGCTCCCCTAGGAGCTCCTGCCTTCCACCGGCTGGGATTTAGGTGTTGCCACTTCCCAAAAAAGGCATAAGCTAAACCACCTGTGGGCACTATGCTTCATCTTATTGCTTCCCACCTGGGGACACAGCCAGGGAGGGTGTTTGGCAGGAACCACCCTGTTCCAGCTGCGGGGGCGATTTGCACAGAGCTGGAAAGTCTCCTCGTCACACACAGACCTCTTGCCTCTGCACAAAGCTGACTGCAGCAGAGAGTGGTCAGTGTAGGAGACTCGGACAGCCTCTGGCAAAGAGCCCTCCATTTACCCTTTAAACTGCATTTTAGGATCAGGGAGTGGCTACTGCACACAGCTGCAGAGGGCAGGACGTTCCAGAAGAAAAAGGCTGCCTACTCTGCTAGGCTCTGGCTCACAGTGCCAGCCCCAATGGATGCGGTGAAAATGGCTGGAGACTGCACAGGGCTGGACCACAGCACCTGTGAGCAGCACACACTGTCCTGATGCCCTTCTCCAGTTTTGGGGCGATGTCCTACAGCTATTAGCACGCTGGACTCCTCAATGGAATGCCTCATTCTGCCACATCCCCTCCAGTTATGCATTTGCTAGTGTTGGTTTACGCTAGATCAATCGCCAGCCATCTGGGATTTGAACCTGGTGTCAGCTGGCTCTCTGGGGTGACAGCACAGCTGTGTGCTATGGGATGCTCTGCGGAGGTTCACATGGAAAGGCAAGAAGAACAATTGATCAGCGATCAGTCTAAGCTCTCTAGAAACACCACCTCTTGCCAGGAGGAGGAAGACCTGGGCACCGGCTGCTCCTCCCCGAGAGCCTGGACCAGGGTGTTGCAGGATGAAGACGGTCACCGCACAACGCCCTGGTAGCAGCTCGTGCAGGGCCTTGGTAGGCTGGGCCAGGAGGAGGAGATGCGAGAGGGTTCCTCTGCCAGGTCCTCTCTTCGACAAGCGAAAGCCACCGTGGAGCCAGGGACAGCTGAAGGGACAACATAGTGCGAGCAGCTACGGGGCAGGGCGAGGAGGTCTGGGCTCTCCTCCTAGACGGTGGCATCCGAGACCCTCCCGTTCAAGGACATCTTCGGCTGGAGGCCGTTGTTCTGAGTGTGCACCTCTGGCTTGGGCTGTGTCATCTGCTGCAAACGCTGCCGGGGAATGAAGGGAGAGAGCGTGTCAGCCGGGGCAGCAGTGGTGGGACAGCCGGCACATGGCAGCGGCTGAGGGTTGGGACCCCTCGCCCCAAGCCTCAGAGGTGGCCCTAGTTACAGGGTGAGGGGACGGGGCATGCAGCAGGAGTTACTCCTCCAGCACCATTCAGCAATCCACTGAAAGCCTCTGCAAGTCACCTTTGCTTTGGTGCTGCACACAGCACAGCAGCTCCTCCTTTTATCTGAAATACAGGGATCACCCTTATAACACAGGCAAACTGTTACCAGGCAATACCAGCTGCAAGTAGGAACAAGAGAGAGCTGCAGTCACAGGCATCAGAGAAGACCCATTTTCCCAGTTTCCATAATTTTTCAACTAGGGCTGATTATAAAGCGTTATTAGTTAGCTACAGCAGGCTGACAAGGTTACCGCCTGTGCCACTGATGCAGATCAGACCAGTCCACCTGCACAAACCTTTGCACCAGCAGCAGCAATTCCTGTCACCCTGAGTTGATCAAATTAAAATTACAGAGCCAAGCAAAGTGAAGCAAGAACCCAGGCAAATACGGAGGGGCAAGTCATTACTGGAGGCGTGTGGACTGAGCATCAGGAGTGATGAAGAAGAATGAATCACTTTTGTCTGTCAGGGAGGGACTAATGCTGTAAGCTGCAGAAGAGACAGCAGAGGAGGATTGAGCCTGGCCTGAATAGACATCAGTAAGTCAGGAAGAAGCTCTTTCCAGCAAAGGGAAATAAGCTCCTACTCTCCAATACCGCTGAAGTGGCTGTTGCTGGGTGAAGTCCCTGAAACATTCACTGAGCTGCTTCTGCCATTCATGGTCTTTTTTTTCCCCTCACATTCATGCTCAGGAGGATCAAAATGACTTGTAATCTTTCCTGTCTGTCAAAACCACTTTATTTAGCGTTGGCATCTAATTTCCCTCCAGCGCCAGCTCTATTACAAGCTAATCCAGGATCTGTGCATATAAGAGGCCAAAAATTCTCTCTGTCTCTCTGATACCAACACACACGCACGCACACAGAGAGAAACTGACTTTCTTCCTGCTGCCATCTGCTGCTCACTCCTGGATCTAGGACCAGTGGGGAGGAGGTCTGGGTCTCCTGATGTGTGTGGGTGCTGTTAGAGGGAGAGCAGGACAGAGAGGGTGCACACCAGTCAGTCACGCTGCTGACTGGCACTGCTGGTTTGCACGAGGTGCTGAGGGGATGGGTGGAGACGTGCTCATGAGCTGCCCCTGGGTGCCAGGACATGCTTTCACCATCCTTAGTGGAAACAGGATTGAGCCTAAGCAAAGGGTTGAACCTGTATCTGTAGTTGCAGCTGACAGCTTTGTCGGAGCAGTCTGCTTGGTTCTTCTTAGGCTTAGTTCAGTGGAGGCTTACTCTAAGCAGAGAGCAGGAGTGGTGAAGCTGTTCGTACCTGCCGGAGACTCCCCGTTGAGGTGAAGAAACAGTACAGCATGTATCCTGGAATCAGTACCATGGAGGACAGAGCCATAAGCCAACCAATGCCTTGTCCCCATGCGGGATAAACGTATTTTCCCAGTGTCAGAGGGGTCATTTCCACCACGCTGAAGAAGAACACACCCTGGGAAAAGAGCACCAGCCATTGCAGGTGAAGGTGAGCAAAATCAGGGTCCATCCTTCCATTCTTTCCTTCACTACCCTCTTAGCTCCCAACAGTCTTATAGCAACCCAACAGCTCCTTAAACTAGTCCAGACGCTCTCAGCCCACGAGATGGTAATTTTACATTATTTCTTATTATCCTATGTAAAAAGCTGGAACTGGAATACTGCTGATTTCCTTCTTCACTGCACGACTCAGACAAGCAGTGCCCCCATACCAGCTCCCAAGCAAGTTAACAGCATTCTCAGAGCTGGCCTCAGGAGCCTGTATCTTCATGTCATTGGTCTTCTCACACCATTCCCTGTACTACTCCTGCTGGAAGCACAGGAACCAGCAAAGGCAAAATTGTGCCACAGTTAGTTATACTGCATTTGCTGATGGCTTTTGCTCTGACAAGCCTATCAGGGGCTGAGGCTGGAGCTGGACTAGCTGAGAGCCTTCCACAGAACCAATAATAGCTCTTTAAAAGAGTAAATTATTTGCTTATCTTTGGCATCTCAGAAAGAAGAATGAAGAACTGAAGGCCTCATTTAGATTAAAACAATCATCTAGAGCTTTTCTTACGAGTCATTCCCAGCGGGCAGAGTGAAAGATGCTCCTGTATTACTTCACCCATCTCAAGTCTGCATAGGCCCACCTTACACCAGACCTATACTGGATTGAGAACATAGTGTTTCCCCTACAGCCCATCCAAACTAAGAGGCCCTTCTGGATCCACTCCTGCAGATAGGATGCCCCAGGTCTTACCAGGCAGACAAGAGGAGTGAAGAAGGCCCAGCAGATCTTCCACCAGATGCAAGGTTTGTAGCCAATCATTTCTTCGATGTTCCTGTAAAACCTGTTCACACCTACAAGGAGAAATGAGCGTTGAAAAAAACATCCCATCTCAGCACCATGGTCATCATCTCTTCTTGTGACACAGGACAGGCCAGTCACAGCAAGAAGGTAACAATGCTGTGACATGAGAAGCATTAGCTGGAGGGGATGGGGTACGGGGACACAAAAGCAAATTTGTGCTAGCAGCTTCCATGTTTCTGGTGTCCTCTTGAAGGACCAGAGGGCAGGACCCGAGGCATCTGCCAGTTTGTGCAGAGGTCTTTGTGGTGGCCTGGAGGAGTGAGATGACAGCTTTCTGCTCCCGATTTTCTGGAGTTATCAGCTTAAGCTATTTTCAGTTGCAAAGTTTTCATTGGCTTCACTGTGGGAGGCTTCTGAAATAACTCACTGTGCCCATGGAGAAAACAAACGAACAAGGTCTTTTGTGCTTACCGTAACACCAAGAAATTGAGATGGTCTCAAAGAACACAAGAAAGAGAAGACACATGCCACTGGCTGAGTAGTAATCAAACAGCTTGAAGACATAAATCCCACCCTGAGGAGACAAAACCAGGGCCAAGGAGTTTAGTTATAGATTATGGTCAACAATATCAGCCAGCTGCTTGGATCACTACTATCTGTATCTATTGGCTTTAATGTTAATTTCCTTGGACGTAAAGCCAGCATTGCAATGTTTCCACTGGAGTCTGGTTCCCAGCAGCAAAACTGATGTACTCTTGCAGACAATTAGCCAGCCTGCTCAGGCATGGCCAAGGGTGAGGAGAAAAGCAGAGATTCACTAGGATTTCTTACTTTTCCCTGTTTTAGATGGAGTGACTTAATTTAGTCTGCTCTGCCCCTCCCAGGAGTTTTGCTGCTTGCCTCCTCATGAACCTACAGTGCTCCACAAATGGTCTCCAGACCACTCAGCCCTAACCTCGACACACGTGAACCTTGGCTTCAGCCCCAGAAATTCAGGGGCCCAATGTTATCTTAACCCTTTGCACCAAGCATTCCCTCAGCTTGGCCTCTGTTGGCTTGAGCCCTTATTGCAAATAGCAAAATAACAAGCCAGACTGACAACAGGGTAGTGGTAAAAATTATGGAGGCATCCTAAGTCACTTGAGATGTAGCAGTGGTGAGCAAGCCCATTTATCCATCATTAGGATGGCTCCTAGGGATGCTATTACTTTTAAAGCTTTCAGTGCTGGTGTGCTATGCCAAAGTAACCAGAAAGGTGCCATGAGTGGAGGTACAAGCACGGCTCTCTATACCTGGGTGATATTGGAGAATCCAATGAGATAAGAGATGAAACAGACTACTGCGATGAAGACCTTCTTCCTGGCTCTCAGGAGATGAGGATACTCATCCATCAGGGCTGTAATGAACCCTTCCACAGTGCAGAACTACAGGAAAATGTATACACCAAAGACATATAAGTATCTTAGCATGACATCATCACCTCCTACATTTAACTCCAACGTTGAGAGCCTCATAGCTTTAAATGCTTTCTGCAGACACTAGAAAAGGAGGCACCTTTACACAAAGTTGGTCCAGCCCAGCTTCTGAAAATGCCTCTCTCCCTCCACTGAATACAGAAGGAGCTAAAAGCACCAGGTTTAAATACCTGAAATTAGCTGAGATAAATCTCTGCTTTCTGCCTCCCGTGGAAAGCCTCCTCTTTCTTCACCCAAACTCTCCAGAAGTTCCCACCACTGCCCTGCTCCCCCACGCTGTGAGACTCTCTGTCACAGCAATGCGTCTGTCTGCTGCTGGGACACGTGCAGGACCTTGCTTGCTCTTCTTTTTCCGTGTGTTCTCTTCTCAGCCTATTGCAACAGCACTTGTGCTGTTCAATGATCTAAAACACTCATTAAGGAGCTGCATTACCCACTGCCCAGTCTCACATGCATGTACATAATAACAACATCTCTGACTACGCAGTCCTTGACTTTATTTCATTTTTTCAAGCACGCTATATTAAATGCATGTAGCACATTAAAAGCCCATCCTCACAGCATGTGGTCTTTTTAGAGCTGAAAACACCTAAATGGCTTGTGTAGCGTTATACCAGGCACAGTATATTAATGGTGTCTGCACCATAACGTGTAAAGAAGTCCCTGTGAGTGTTACCTTCAAATCAGTTTTCCTACTAGTTCTGCCCTATGGCATGAGGACAGTTTGACTGTATACACGTGAAGTGCATCCTTCCCTCCTATTTCTTGATAAATTGTGAGATTCACTTTTATATCTCACTCCCAGAAACCACTGGTAACATACAGCTGACAGAGAGCGCATCATGCCTCTAGCAAAAATCCTGGGAAGTTTATGAAAGCAGCAAGCTCCTAGCTTCCCTGGTCGCCCTCAGTAAATGTACAAGCCAGGGCAATGAAAATGAAAGAGGTTTCATTGCTCTTGGATGTCAGGGACCCCCCTGTCCCTGGGACAGCACTCTAGAAAGTGCTGGCATTTTTAGATTCAGCTTTGAATAGGGAGACAAGAAGGAAAAAACCCTAGAGTAGAGGTGGAGGTAGAGGTACACAGACTAAAAAGAGCAGCAGAGGGCTGGAGAGTTGTATGGAAGAAAAGTGAGGAGTCTGAGCTGTGCCTACAGCTGGGCAGGGACGGTGGAAGAGCTTGCACACCGCGGGCTGCTGGGGCTGGCTTCCACCTGGGCACAGAGCGAGGCAAAGGGCGATGTTTCTGCCCAGGGTTTTATATCAGCACGGTGCAGTGTGGAAAGTCGATATTCCCAGAGCATCAAAGCTCAACTGCTTCAACTCAAATTTTTAATGAGATAAGCCTTTTATGTTGGACACAAGTGCTATTAAAGCATCTTGTGCCGTTCGGGCATGGGTTAAGTTGCCTTTATACTCATTGACAGCAAGCTCTTCACCCCATACCACCCGGCTCTTTGTCTGGAAGAGTCAGGACTGAGCTGGCACCACAGTGTGAAGAGCCGGCGTGACAAAAAAAACACTGTCGAGAGCTATTCCTTCCACGTGGATGCGTGGCCAAGCACTGCTGGAGCCATGGGCAGGGCCAGGCGGTCTGGCACCACGCAAGGCAGAGAGGGAAAAGGGTTTGGAGGGTGGTCAGGGGCAGAGGGTGGATGTGAGGGTTGTCCATTGGAGAAGAAGCAAAGAACAAGATACCTCGGATAACGGGACGGAGTAAAACCGACAGCCCTTTGGTGCAGGAAGAGGGATCAAAGTCAGGGAAAGCACAGAGGGAAAGACAGGGAGACGGGTGGTGGGGAACAGGGCTACGAAGCGAGTTGAAATCTCTTTGCCTCCTATAAAAATTAAGCTGGTGTGTAATGGATGAGGTGGGGAACCAAATGGTGGTATGCTGCTTTTTCTAGCCATAAAACAGGCAATGGCCTTCATAGCATTTACTGAAAACTGCCTCATGCCAGCCTCAGGCTTCAGAGGTGATGCAGCCTGGAGGAGGCTCAGCTTTCCAACCCTGGGGACTGTGGCTCCCTGGCTGGCCTGGGGTCCACATTTGCCAGCCTGCATACCCAACCTTAGATGCTCGCATGAGATAAGCAGGCACCTGAGTGAAAGCATGCTGCTTTGAGGAGCGATGAGGATCTGGTCATTGTGATGCCTTCTGGTCTCACCCTTGCCCTGTGTGCACACTTGTGCCTGTGGGTAGACAAGCACACACATACCTCCCCCCGCCCCCGCAACAACCACACGCTTCAGTCTGCTTTCCAAAAAATTTCATTTTTCTCAGTGTCTCCAGCTACAATTTTTAGTACATATTCTGTTCTTCCTCGTGCCTCACCCCATGATATTGTTTCTCTCCTAAAGATTTTCTTTCCCTTCACTTTCCTCTTTTGCTTTTTTTCCCCTTCAGAGGTTTAATCATTACACAAGCTGCTGGGTCTGATAATCTGGGCTTGGGAGTCAATATAGGTGGCACGTTGATCTAAAGGAAAATCTCTGTCCCACACTCTCCAAGTGTCAGGGGCTTGCTATTCCCTCCTTGTCCATGCAGAGCACCCTGACCGGGACCCACGGGCCCATGGGGGGGGGTCCGACCACAGCTGCCAGATGTGCAGCACAGAGCCACAAGAGCGGGTCTCACCGCTGTCAGCTGGAAATCCTCACGAATAACCTGTGAGAGGCAGCCTCACATGGGACAGACACAGGCTTGCAGTCACAAGGCTTGCTAGCTCCCCTGGGGAGAAAACGCCTGACCTGGAAACTGGTAGGTTAAAAGAAAGCATTAGCATATTATGCAAGAGGGTCTAGACGCAAGAGAGCTAAAGTCCGGATGGATCAGAGGCAGAGCGAACATTAAGGCACACGAGCGGCAAGTGGGGGCACAGAAGGAAGGCGCGTGTCTATCAATATAGGTCATTCATCCATTCAAGTAACTGCAGATGAGATGAGCACCCTGGCAGAAAGAGGCAGATGTAGTGGTGCTGCATCTGCAGACTTGCTATCGAAGCTAATGGACTCGGATCGACCTACTCCCACCATCGTTAAAGGGTTTGGGCTTGTCGCTGCATCACAAATGCAGATCTCAGCCCTACCTTCCTTCGCTAGTCGGGCTTCTGGGCACCTCCGCTGTGCCTACAGACCCGTGTCCAGCCAGTGGCAATGGGCAGCCCCAGCCCAGCGGCCCTGGGGGTGTAGGGTGCAAGAAATGCCCTATGGCCCTGCTGTGCCTCATGGACTGGGCTGCTGACCCAAATGAAAAATGACGGCTCCTCATCTGCAAATACCACAGATGATATTTAATCAGCACATGGCAAAACTGTCTCTTTTTCGGGTTTTTTTTTGGTTTGTTTTTTTTTTAACTGGACACTTCAAAATGCATGTGCAATTGCAGCTGTTGTTGCAGCCTGTGTTATTTGTCTTATACACATAAGCTGCCATGCTGTTAATGGTCTGTTTGACTGAATCAGAGCTCCAGCATGCAGACAGAAAGCTTCTTCACATGTGTTTATCTGTGCTTTTTAAAAGGCTTGTTTTCCTTTTGATGCTTCATTCCCACCCCCCCCTCCAGGCAATGATAGCCCCCCCCAGACTGCCTGCCCTCCGAACCTAGCTGTCAGAAGGGACTTGGAGAATTTCAAGTGGTATTTCAGAAGCAAATGCAGCAAATAAATTCCACACAGTGCTTAGAGGGCTTATTGTCATGTCTCAAACTACTTACCAGTGCTGAGTGAATAATCCATGGAGAGTAATTTTTTTTCTGTAAATGTATCTTCTTTTGGAACATTTAGTCATTATTTGAAATTATTTGCCAAATAATGTCTGTGGTAATGCAGACGTGAGCTTTATGATGTATTTGTGGGAGTGTGCCATAATTGAAAACCCAATTTGATTGATTAGATTTTCCTGGAAACCAGGTGTGACATTTCAGGAATAGGTCTGAGTCTGATTATGAAGTAGACTTGGGTTTATGAACGCTACCTGTAATCCAAGAGAGCATCCATTTTATGTTTGTGGTTTGCACTGCAAGGAAAGAGCACGCGGGCACAGGGGAGGATGTGACAGACCAAGCACAGGCTTTTGAAGGAGCCTTTGATTTTGATGCACTCAAAAGTGAGGCATGCTGCAATTCACTGCTTCACTGGGTAGCTACATTTCTGCTGAATTATCAGAAAAAAACCTATCACAGCTTATAAAAACACAGAAACCATGATTTTTTTTGTTTTGTTTTGTGAGGGCTCTGAGGGGGGCAGGGTGGAGACCTTTGGCTACATTCAGCTGCTTCCCCCACAAATATCTTGTAAGACTTAACTGATGGCAAAGCAGTCAGGGTACCCAGGCACCAGCCTTTCCCAAGGCATGGCTCCTTCCTTCTGCCAGGATCTACCCCTGCTCATCTACGAACCAGACCAGGGTGCTTCAGCTCCGCCTAGGGCCACTTTTGTTATCAACAACAATCCCAAAACGCTGCATCAAACCACCACCCTCTCACCACAGGAGAGCCCTAATTCAAACGCTGCATTCCTGCTTTTCTGGTGCAACCTGTCGATTCTGTGCCAGAGCACTGGGTCTGGCACCTTGTGCAGAGATGCCCCTTCCAGCTCCTGGGAGTAGAGAAGATGAAGACTTTCTACACTAACCTATGAAAGTAAGCCAAAGTAATGACACTTTCTTGCCTCACAAGAAATGTAGTTTGGTCAAGGTGACACAGTAAGAAAATCCAAAGCATCCAAACTGAGCTTCTCACAAAATACCAAGTCAGCTGTGATGACCACAAACTATTATCATGCAGGCACGAAATGAAGCAGTTAATACTGAATTCCCTTACTTCACATACCTATTTTGGGGGTTAGGGGAATCATGTCTTACAAGAACAAAGCAGTTATTACTTGAAAGAAATTTTTTTCCTTTTTCCCTTGCCCCAAAGTATTTTGGCAGGGATAGTTTCCCGCTAGCTCTATTTAGAGCCTGTGAGCTCAGCTGCCAGGGTCACCCAGCAAGATGGGGACATGCTGTGCCCACGTAGCAGCACCAGCACTCCACTAGGGCCAAAAATTGATCTGAGCGGAGAAAAGCTTTCCAGAGATCCTCTCCTCCTCCAGGGAAATGGTGATTGCCCTGTAAGGCTGACTGGTTCTGCTGGGCTGCTGGAAACTGGTCATTATTCCTATTTTTAATTGGCAGCAAGACAAGGACTGGTGCACTGGGTAGTGGTCAGGTACCACCACACTTGCAGTATATGCCAACATTAGGGAAGAGTGCAGAGGCGATGACCACATGGGAGGTTTTGTTTCATGCAGCTGCATCTCACCATGAAGAGTAGGAAAAGACCCTGCTCAGCACTGTCCCAAGGTGCAGATGAGGACACCACCATTGAATCCGAAGATATCTTTGTATCTTATCCCACTTTGTCCCTGGGTCATCTCACCTGACTATCCAGACCCAGCATCATCAGCATGGAGAAGAAGAGGATCGACCAGAGCGGGGACAGGGGCAGCTGTGTGACAACCTGCGGGTAGGCGAGGAAAGCCAGTCCAGGGCCTGTGGTAATGAAAAGAGGGATGAGCCCATGTTTATAAAGCATTTGATGGGAAGTCTGAGCTAAGGAGCACAGCTGAACAGAGAGACAACCATCACAGTCAAGAATTCCAGGTATTTAATATAGGAGCTAGAAAAACCGAGCCTTCACCCATGACACACCATCCCGGTGGGGTGCACAGGGGTAGGATGGGGAGGCAGGAATGACAGGAGAAACACTTTGCAAGAAAAGTCATCAAATTACTGCTGCCAAATGGAGCTAGAGCACTCTGCTAGAAAAAAACCCTGATATTCAGAACTGGTTATAACTTTCCTGATATGGGGTTTTTTTTTTCCATCACAAAATGCTGTTTCTTGAGATAAAAGCTTTCTCTGGGAAGACAGCAATTTCAAAATATGTCTTTGTGCAAAAAGACACAATCCCATATTGGTTAAAAATTATTCTGAGATTACAGTTTCAAAATTTCTCATGGAAAAGGGACTCCAAATTTTGATCATGTCTGCTGAAAACATAGACAGTATCTATTCTCCACAGGAAGGTTTCAGAAAGCAAATGGCCTAAATATTTTACTGCAGCAAAAGTACATAAAATTTCAGCACTAAAAGAAGGTGAACATTAAAAGCCGGCGGAGATGTCCCTTGCAGCCAGACTACAATGAATATCAGCCACAGGTGCCTGAGACCCATCTTGGTGGGAGGGTGTGCAAAAGGGGTTGCGTACTTGGGTCCTGGTCAGGAAAGGCCTGTGAGCATCCCACGCTCACGGACAAATTGCTCTCAAAGGTTGCTGTTGCCTTTGAACCTGGGTTTCTGCTTACCTGAGGAGGCCAGCTCTGAGATCGACTTCTTCGTGATGTGCGACATGAAGCCAACAATAGAGAAAATAACAAATCCGGCAAATATGCTTGTGGTGGAGTTTATACAGCAGACAATAATGGAGTCTCTGGAAGAGAGAAAGAAAGAAAAGAAACCACCTGCAGGTCCTTACCAAGAGGCCAGGGGTGAAGGGTGAGGTAAACAAAAGACCAAGCCCTGCCGAGAGCTGTTCCTGCGCCTTGGAGAGGTAGCGCGGGTGATGTGTTAAGTGTCCTGCAGGCAGGAGAGCCCCGCTACGATGATCGCAGCATGCCCCTTAGGCTGCACATCGCCAGCGAGGCGACGTCGGAGATCAAGGCACCCCAGACTCACCACGACCCCCTCCCTCACCTGTGAGCACTCCCTGCCATGCAGAAGGCTGGAAAAAAAACCCAACAGACCTGTAGACATTGTTGTGGAAAGTGTTGTAGCTCCCCAGAGCGATCAGGGACCCCAGACCCAGGCCGTAAGAGAAGAAGATCTGTGTGGCTGCGTCCATCCAGACCTGCGGAGAAGGAGCCGGGAGAGGAGTGCAGCGGGAGGGACTCCAAGCTGCAGGTGCGTCTCCTGCAGCAGCTCAGTGCAGGGCTAGCGAGGGGGCTGGATGCGGACCGTGGGGCTGTGGACTTGGCCATACAGCCCACTGGGGTGGTCAGGACCTGAGGGTACCCTGTCACTAGGGCCACGGGTGCCTGCAACGCTGGCTGCTGACCCCAAGCTCCAAGGAAATGCTTGGGTCGGTGGCTGGAAATGTCCCAGGAGCCGCCTTGAAACCTGTAGCTGTGTTACTGCCAACCGGGCTGAACATGTCTGAAGAACAGACTTTTTTCCGTGCCTTTCTGAACACCTGTCTCCAGGGCACAGTAGAACTCAGAGATGGTGGTGCAGGTGGAAAGTAAGGAGAGTAACTGAGATGGCTGGTGCAGCCCCGTTTTACCTGCGGGCTGGTGATGCTGTGCTTTTGTGTGGCACAGATGTGACCAGAGCATGCTGCCTTCTGCAGCCACTGCGCGTCCCACAGCGATGCGGGGTCAGCAGGGACCCTGTGCCTCCCCCCAGGGGAACAGGGCTGCCAGGGGTCTTTAAAACAGGGCACCGAGTCGGGGATGTGGTATATGCCTCTCCTGCCTGCGGTGTCAGGAGGGACCCTGCTAGAGAGCAATGCGTCCCCGGGGAGGAGGAGCAGGGGGTCTGCATCCTTCCCACGTGGCAAGTGCATCAAGAACGCCGTCTGGCATAGCACCAGACGTACATCCCCAGCCCTCCGGAACCTGTGGCTCAAGGCTGCTTCCAGGGATGGATGGGAATGGAGGAAGGGTTGTGCGTCCCATTTTCTGAACCACGTCCCTCAGCCCCTGGTGCAGGTCAGAAAGGACTCGCGCATCATCTGAATTTGTGTGTGTGCTTGCTTTATCACCGCTGCTCCCTGAGGGGTGTTGCTCCCCTCGGAGACCCACGTCCCATGCTCAACCCCTCTATTTCTCTTCCACTAGCATGTCTTTGATTTTCCAACATGGAGTTTCTTGTGCAAACAACTGCAGAGGACAGCTTGCAAAGCTGGTCCCAGTGCCTTAAGGTCTTAAAGGCTAGAAAGCACAAGAAAAGGGGGCAGACTGTTTGCTTCTTAATTGCATAGTATTTAAATAACTCTTCTGGTCTTGAAGGCCCTGTTTCCAGCATTAGAGCCGATGTAGCTGGCAGTACAATTACAGAGAGTGTCTTGCGAGAGGGATCATTGGGACCCCTTGGGAAATGATGGGTGTCCAGTTGTCCCTGCTCACACGTGACTGGTGACTCTGGAGCCACAGGATCATTGCTGCTGCAAAAGGCAGAGTCTGCGTCTCCTGAAAAACTTTGCCTTTGCAAGCCTCCATACTCCTCCTGGGCTCCCTCTGTGCTTCCACTGACCAAGGCAACGTTACTGGCCACCACTTGTCATTTAAACACTTCCAAAAACTGCTGTTGTGTGTACTGTTGTGCTTGTGCTGCTTCTGAGACCCCCATGCCAGCAACACCACATCATCCTTTCTCTGGGACCACCAGATCAAGACCAAATCACCCGCCCTGGTATGGTCAGTGAAATGAGGCATTTCCAGCCCAGAGGGGATTTTCCTTCATTGGGGTAATTTCTGACCCCCCCCCGCCCTATGGATAACACTGCTTGAGTACAACAGAGCTGCTGCACAGATTTCCGCCCACAAAGGTCCTGCCCTTCAGCTTTGTCTCAGCCTGTGAGGGTTGTGACTGCTTGAATAGGGAACAGTTCCAGCTTTTTTTTAATACTTAAAATATTCAAGGGAAGTGCCCAGGGAAGACTAATATGGAGACAACCAGGAGGTAGGAGCTTTCCTCACTAGGCTACAAACCTCAGAGTCAGAGAGCTTTCTGAAGTCGGGCGTGAGGTAGAAGAGGATCCCTTCCTTGGCTCCCGGCAGCGTGACTCCCCGGAAGAAGAGGATGAAAAGCATGAAGTAGGGGTAGGTGGCTGAGAAATACACCACCTGCGAAAGACATCGTGGGAGAGAAGCCATGAGCCCACCAGTGCCCAGCAGCTTTCCTGCCTGTGGTGGCATTGCATCCAGCATGTCCCCCTGCGAAGGGGATGGGGTCCCCACGCACCACTGGTTTTGGCAGCATTTCCTGGTGTTTTCTGTCTCCTGTTCCTATGCTAGTAATGTTTCTGGCTGTTTGAGGTTTCTCCCTGCCAATGACGTGCAAGGACACACTAATCACAAAAGTAGCATGCTAAAGTCTGGATGAATTGCCCAAAGACAAGGGAATTGCACAGGGATAAATTTAGTCCACAAAAGTAATCCCTTTAAGTCATCACAACCTTATTTGCAGAGCAAAAGCTGGTGTTTCTCTAGTCCAATGCATCAAGCAACGTGAGTTGTCTTGACTCCGCCGCTTTCTTTTCAGCACTGTTTCAGGGACTTGCAGGTACATGCCATCCCTCATCACAAGGCCTGCACCAGCAATCACCAGGGCTTTGCTGCGGCTGCGTAGCTAAAACCTGTTTGAAAGCCGCTGCAGAAGTTAACAGCTTAGGTGACCTACACCTGAAGCGCTTCTTTCTGATCTCTCCTGTAGATTATTCCTTTCATAATAATGTCCCGCTACTCCATGCTGTGCTCTAAATAACACATCTCAGTATCTCAGCATCGCTGTTTCACTAAACTAACCAATTACCTTTCTGCTGTGCTAGCCTGAAATGCTACACAGTGAATAACAACGTGCTTCTGATCTGAAGGTCTCCCACCAATACCTAAAGGGCAACAGGAAGATTTTCAAAGGAGGTGGTGAGGTTTTTTTCCACCAGCAGCATTTTAAGAGACAATGGTTTTCAAAATGGGGAGCCCAGAAGAGGCCTCGCTCTCTCAAAGGGCTGTCCCAGGGTGGGAAATGTAAGTAATCTCTGAAAATCTCTACCCAGAGAGACTGAGCGCTCAGACCCATGACTTTACAGGGAAGAGCTATTCTCTATGCTTAGAATGAAAATTGCCATAAACACGGTAACAATTTTTACAACCGTGAAAGGTAAATGTCAGGAATTTAATAGCATCTGCTGCAATTCTGCCTCAAAACACCATAAACTTAGTTATAGGCACTCAAAGAAAATTGAGTCCGGAGGACATTTCGACAGCCAAGACCCGAGCGTGGTAATGAGAGGCAGCACCGAAACACCTGGTCCTCGCACCGTACCTTGCCCGTCCACTCCACGCCCTTCCAGATGGAGAAGTAGACCAGCAGCCAGGCCAGGGCCAGTGTGCCGGCCAGGGGCCAGCGGATGGTGCCGGGCTCCCCCAGGCCCCCAGACATCTGGTGCATGTTCCTCCTGGGGGGGGAGAAGTTGTGTTAAGGGGAAGTCCGACCCTTGGCGGCAGAAAGATCAGAGATGCTGGTGGCAGCTGGAGGGCGAAGGGCCAGGTCCGAAGCACGAGAGCCCCAAAAACCCTAAAGGGACCTGAGGCTCATTGTGATGGGATAAAGGAAAGAGAAGAGAGGCGCAGAGGCCGTTGTCCTCTCTATCCATCTGACCTGCAGCTGCACAGCACGCTCCATGCCCATGCCCACCCTGGCCGATGGCCGGCTCTGACGCCCTCCTGCCAAGGCTGTCCGAGGAAAGGTGCCAGCGGGCACGGCCACAGCCCTGGCGAGCAGGCGTGATGGCCGCGGTGAGGGTGAGAAACCTGGTGTAGGCAGGCTGTGGACGTACTCCCAGAACTCGGTGACGGCGCTGGTGAGGTTGGTGGTGTCGCCCAGGGAGTAGTTGGAGAAGCAGCGGTCAGTGTTCCAGGCGTTTCCACAGCTCTGCCATGGCAGGTCCTGCACCAGCATAAGGACAGCAGGGTTATCATTAATGTGGCATCTCCCAAGGCCAGCGGCGAGAAGCGAAATTTGGCTTCTTTTAAACTGAAACCCCATTTTTTTTGTAAAAAGGATGGGAGGCTCCTCTGGATGGGTAGGGACCTTGCATCGAAAAGCATGAAACAATTTTCCAGAATAATGATAAGTTGTGACACAGATTTTCCAGGAAACAATATCACGATGTGATTAGGGCAATGCTGTAGCAATAATAAATTGTTAGCAATTCCCCAGATAGAAAGCCATTTCCAATTAACTGTTGGTAATTAATAGCTACTAATTAAAATAGCTACTGGGGGATATTGTGTTTATAATCATTACAGCTTTTGGCTAGCTTCACTCAACAAGTGGTTGGAACTTAGTGCACAAAGAATAAACACTGATTTGTTTCCTACCTCTCATTTATACCAAGCTTCAATGCTTAAAAAAGCAACGTGGCATTGAGAATGGGGGCTAATGGTTCGTCTACACGAATAAACTACTGTAACATAAGCCCAGGAGTAAATTTAAAGTGTAGTAGTTATTTCATGCTGTCCCCTGCCCTGATTATAAGCAGCACAAAGGAATTCCTGGGAGATGTTTACACTGTAGGTAGCAATGTGATGGCAGCACATCGCTACAGATTTAATACAATCAGCTCTGGTGCTGCAAGCGATGAAACCGCAGCGTCAGAGGCTGTGCGAGCACACAGGGCAACTCACCCATGCTGTGTAGTGCCACAGCCGAGGCAGCTCAACAAGAGCAGCTCAGATATGCCTCCATGTGCAGCAATCTCATTTCCCAAGTGCAGTGCATGTAGATAAATGCAGAACGGCTATTCTGGATCATTTTCCTCTGCAGAAAAGACCTCAGGCTCCAGCTCAACAAAGCTTTAAGAAGATGTTTGTATCCATTCCTATTCATCCACGAACACAGACCCCTTTAGAAATATTATCTGTTTTAAGTGCTTTGTGGCATCACTGCCCTTAAGTGCTGCCTCCATCCCGCATCTAAATCAGTTCACTGCAGCAGATGATACCTCCTAACGTGCATGCTGGCTTGGCAGAAGAAGGGCTATGGGAGGGGCAGGTGGGGACAGGACACCCAGGCTGTTTGCACCCACCCAGTGATTTCATTGCGGACTTGCTAATTGCACTGAAGCAAATGCAATGGCTCAAGCAGAGCAGCGCAGCAGCCCTTCAACCAAGCAGTTTGCACATCAGAGACACTGTGCAGCTCTTATAAGGAGGGCCAGGCAGGGGGATGGTATGTTGGTGCTTCATTTCCTCTGAATTTCAGAGGACAGAAACTGCAGAAGGCAAGCTGGGTTCCTGTTCAGGTTCAAAATACTTCTAGTCAAATTTAGGAGGAATAGGGGACAGGCATCAGCCAAGCTCTTTTATTTGTACTTTGGCTCCTTTGGGGAATCTGGAGTTATCTCTGGAAAAAGAGAAGGCCTTGAGCCAAACACCTGGAGCTGCCTGTGTAGAGAGGAGCACTGTCACCAGTCGGGTGTGTGACACCTGACTGTACCAAAGCCTCATCCTAGAAGCATCCTGCCCAGGGCAGAATGGGGATGTGTTCTTTTGGGGTAGACTTTTGTTCATTTGGGAATCCCCCAAGGGTGCACCTATCATCCATGACTGACAATTTTATTCTGGACCCAGGAGCCTACAGTGGGTATTGATAGTAGAAACACAGGTGGGAATGCCAAACAGAATATTTTAGCAAAAGTCTTGATAGATACTTGACATTTTTGATCAAACAAAAAGTGAAACTGGATGTACAATGTTCGTAACAGCATTTCAGGGTTATACCTAAATGAAAAAAATCTCATTTGAACCACAGAGTTGATGTCTTTAAGGCTGCAGGTTGGTCAGAGAGTTAAGGGAGCTCTTCCCAGCTGCTAGGCTGAAATTAATCATTCAGCTACCAAGAAGTTAATGTGGGGCGTGATTCTGACCTTGTATGGTAGAAGACCCTGCTATGGAAGAGGAACCACAACACCAAAGTACATGCTAAGGGACAGTCACAAGCAGATGTCTAAATGCTTTCCGAATCATTTTTCTCAGTAGAACCGCCCCCCCCCCCCTCGGGGATTTCATTTGTCAAGAGAAGCATAAATGAGGACTAATTAAGGTCAGGACTAGGTCCTGGGTAATAAGAACATGTTGTGACAAAAACAGTTGTGGAAATCTGCAGGTCTTAGATTCACACAGCTCTGGAAACATGACAGAGACACAGGATGGGTTTTAAAGTCTGATGTAACTGGCAACAGGTGCCAGAGAGGGGATGGGACCATCCCCTCCAGAGGACAAGCATCAGTACCCATCAGCACTACACGACTGCCTCCAGGGCTGATGAACCTCTTTGGGAAGGGTCCAGCAGGGTGCTGACGAAGGCTCTTTGCACAAACTACAAGCATGTTTTGTGGCATAAACAACTCCTCCCCGTAAAGCAGGGAGTAAGGACCCATAGCACAGACAATGCCATGCTGTAGATATGTCTGTGACTCACCGTGGTGAAAGAGTTGAAGAGATAGTAGAGAGCCCAGGCAATGATGACAATGTAGTAGATGTTCAGCCAGAAGGAGAGAACCACAGCTGCCAGCCCCACTCCTGCGAATGAAGGCAGAAAGCAGCATCAATCCAGGTCTCTGGTGCCCAACTGCACTCATGGACATCACAACAGGTTTTGCGGCAGAGCCAGAACAAGCAAACCAGCTCATCAACGCAGCACCCAATACAGCTACACTGAACTGGTCAGCAAGGGTGGCTTGTTCCCTCGCATCTCTCACCCACCCGTTTCCACTGGTACCTTTCAGTATGCTACAGGTACTTTAGGGACAGAGCTCCATGAAGACAAGATCTGGTCACTTCCCCAGCAGAATCGCTCTCTCCCACATCCAAGGCATTTCTAAATCACCACTGGTTTCTAGAATGCTGCTGCTCCAGACACAGCAACAGCTACATGTCTCCTATCTACAGCTTTCCCATGCAATTAAAGTAAACCCACATGGGAAGGTTTGGGGCAGGTCTTCTGCAACCAGAGCCCCTCCATCACAGTCCCTGCTGCTCATAAAGTGCCTTGTCACCACAGAAGACTGTTTGAACAAAGCACAGTGATGTTAGTGACTGCGGGCATCAGGGTCAAGGACAGCTTGATAAAGACAGAGGGAAAAAAACTCCCCTCACTTGCCACCCCATCCCAGTCCCCAGGGGTTTGCTGATTTGCTTCCCAAACCATTAAAGGGTTTTTGTCTGCAGTTATGTGCCGTCACCTTCACAAACTTACAGTACATTACCTTTAAACATGGGTGCTAATTTCCAGACTCCCAGTCCGCCGACAGAGGTATACTGGCCCAGAGCGGTTTCCAGCAGGAAGAGAGGAATCCCAGCAAACACCAGTGTCAGGAAATAGGGGATGAGGAAGGCCCCTGAAAGAAGGAGCAATGCTATAAGACGGCTCCCCCTTTTACCAAGAAGTAAATGCCTTTAGCTGCGGTTTCTTGTTCTGCAGCACCCACATGATGAGGAGCAGACTTGCTTGGAGGTGACAGTTTGCAACTGGAGTTAGTGTGTTCAGTGAGTCTCCCATTAAGATCACCACTGCCTTGTCCCTATCTGCTCCTATCACTATGAATATATATGTATCATATATACATATATACTGGCATCACTAGCTATGTGATGCCAGTCTCACTTTGTTGTTAGATATTTAGGCAATGCTAAGCCCAATCTGACAAGAAACCCCAAAGCTTGGACACTGACATGGTTAACTTGTTCTTGTTGATGTTTTCTGTCTTACCTGCAGCAGCTCCCAGCTCTTCACCTTGAGGGAAAAGGGCACAGGAATATCTGGCACTGGCCACTACTTACTTTGTTTATACCTATTTCAGTCTTTTAAGGAAACTGTGGCTAAGACTGTATTTGCTCTTGTAACAGCCCTATAGACCTCCCCACACTTGTTCTAGCTTTTAACCTTAAAATTCCCAGTGAAACCATTATTCTTCTCTATGGACCCTATGGAAATCATCTATCACTAGAAATGAGGCAGTGCAGCTCTTCACTAGAGATATTACTTGTACCCCATTATTAGAAGAGCAAACAGAATAGGAGAGCCTTGCCATGTGTACATCTTCAGGTCATCCTGACTTCTAGGACTTGGGATAAAGCTCATTTTCCAGCTTCCTCATGCATGTGCTGGAGCATGCCATCATTCCTGAGGAGGACAAACCCTTGCAGAAGACGCTGGCTGGGGAGAGAGAGGGGACACTCAGTTTGCTCAGAAGCAGCTGGCCGTGTTCGGGACGGCACTGGTTTCTGCACTACCCAGAGGGCTGAGCTGTCAGTCTGAGTCTTCTTCTCCAGATATTAGTGGGAAAGCAAACACGGAGCTAGCAAGCAAAGCCATTCTGGAGAGCTGCAGCCCAGCTTGCACCTGGCAGAGCCAGGCTCCAGCAGCTGCTCTCCAAGGGCAGGGAAGCAGCAAGGCACAGCCAGGGATGCTGGCTCAGGGGACACCCAGCTGGGGACGCCTGCCTGCCAAGTGGGGAGCTGAGCCCAGCTGGGAGAGGCAGGCACCAGCACCCGGTGTGGGGGTCCGTGGGAGGCAGTGTGCAAGAGGAGCTGGCAGCGGGTGGTGGGGAGGAAACACGCTCCGGGCCAGCAGCTCAATGACCATGAGCCTGAATTGCAAGCTGGCGTGGAAGCACAGGCTCTTGGCTTCAGCAGCCGCCTGGCGTGGAGGAGCGAACGGCTTTGAGCATCACTGCAGGAGGAGCACTGCCTGCTCAGCATCCTCCCCTGCGCTCTCGCTAGCCGCCGCAGCCTGCAAGGTCCAGCCCCTGAGGAGCCCTGCAGGAAGCCAGGGTCTGCTCCGAGGACACGGATGCTGCCTTGCTACTGTTGTGCCTCATTGTGGAGTTTGGAGACTGAGCTTCTCAGCAGCCACACTGCCTTGCTCGCTTCTGTGCAAGCAGCTAAAGCAATTTGGCCACAGCCCTGATGATCCTGCATTTTTCATCTACAGCAGGCCTGGAAGGTTTGTAAGTGAAAGATGTTATTAGACTGTTGAGAAAAAAGCAGACAAACTTTTGAACCCAGGTCATTTATCCTGGCTTGACAAAAATCCCCCATAATAGGGGAAAATCTACAAAACAGACAGAAGCCTTGAACGGAGGGCTGTTGGCAATGACACTGCCACTCTGGAGGGTCAGGTCCCCCAGCAGGCACGGATAACAACCCCGGGTGCTCTACAGCCGGAGGGGAAATCAGATCTGAAATTTGTACCCAAAGTTTGCATGCCTGTGACTAAATCCTTGGCACAGAGAGAAAGGGATGGTCTTTAATCTCTGGCCCTGGATGGGCTGCTGAAAGGTCTGGTTCAGTTCCTGGGCCTGCTACAAATGGTCGTGTGTGACCTTGGGAGAGTCCAAACTTGTCTCTGCTGTCCATGGGTCAAAGGGGTGATGGTGCTGGTCCTGCCCTGCCTGCTCAGGGCACCGGCCCTTGGAGGCAGAGAAGGATCACACAGTGCCTTGCACTCACTGTGCAGCCCCAAACCTGCCTGCCATCTCCACCTCCTAATGCTGTACAGCAAGGAATAATAATTAATCCTTAAAATGGCGAACACTGCCCATGGATCAAAAGTTGAGCATTACAAGCTGTTACATGCCGTTGCTTGGAGTCTCAACGTGTAAATGAGAAATGCATGATGCTTATTTAAAGAAATGTTCTTCTCTCAAGTTATTCAAGCTCAGGATCTCACAGACAATTTTTAGCACCTACTGAGCTGCATTTAGAGTCAATTTAGAGTCCGGTAAAATCCTGTTGACATCAGAAGGACTGCATGAGGTTAGAAATCAGTGTAGAGGCTGGAGCGTTAGTCATAGCTGGGCACATTCAGCTGTGTGCAGAGCCAGCAGGGAGCCCAGGCATCAGTTTGGGTTAAAGCCTGCTCCCTGCAGCAGATGGGCCTTGCGCTGGGCTGCCGTACCCTGGCTGAATATCCCCTAATTATGTGCCCGATTACAACGCTGAGGAAATCAGCCATGAGCTGATACAATGTGACAGCGGTAAGTGAGACGACAATATTTCCATTCAGTTCAATTTGCCTGTGCGTAATGGAAGCAGCCCACACGACCGTGCTCTGAGCAGCGCACATGCAGGACGCTAAAATTAGAGTCCCACCCACAGTCTGCTCTGCTCCGGAGGCACCTCCATTGGGACAGAGCCAAGATGGTGCCCACCCAATTGCAAATCAGATGCCTCGCGACCCTGCCTCGCTGCTCCGCATCGGCTCCCGGTGACGCTTTTGTGCGTCAGCTCTCCTGCCTGTCTCCGGCATCAGCAGCCTCCACTTGCTGCTCATTATTGCCGGCTGCGGGAACAGTCGTGCCTGTGAACAGCCAGACTGGGTAGGGGTGAGAGGAACAAGTGATACAGGCTGCCATGAACGGCAGGAACAGACAGGCAAGGCAGGGCGTTTGAGAGGAGGCAGGCACCGATTGCTGCACTTCATCTGTCCGGTGTTTTTTGCTCACAGCCGGCTGATCCTTCTGTGTGCCTGCAGCTGCCGGGGCAGAGATCACCCTGTGTGCCATTGCTAATGTTAGTAGCTGCGCTCCACACCCCACAGCACCCTCCGTCCTAGGATCTCGGCTGACTTTATAAATAGGATTAATTTTAGCTTCAAAACACCCCTCATCTGGTCATAGATATTGTCATCCCCACCTTTATGTTTGAGGAGACGGAGCCATGGGCAGCATGGATCTGGCGTGTTTGAGACGGCACAGCAATCACAGGGCAGAGACCGGGCTAAAAACCAGTGCTGGGACTTAGTCACGGGGCTAATGTCTTATGAGGAGGGCTAGCACAGTCAGGTGCCATAGTGTGGCCAGATGAAAATGGCAGACCCGCACCACAGCTCTGGCGATGGTGGCACAGGCTCCCCTAGGTAGACCTGGCTGATCCCCATAAACCTCACCTGGCTCAGCCACACACTCGCGCCTCTGCACAAAATGAAATACTGAATTAGAAATCATCTTGTCAGAGTGGATAACTGTCCAGTCCCCCACTGGGACTCACTCCACGTGCTTTAGAGAAAGGGCCAAGATCTCCCTAAATGCTGTGGAACTATATAGACAGACAGCTGCAGGGAGCCAGACCCCTCTCCTCTTTCCCAGGGTGGGACAAGAGCATCCTACACCACCTACAGCATGGACAGCAGAAACGGGCTGGCAATATGAGGAGAAGTCATAAGAGCCAGAGGCAAAGCTGGTTTTGAAGAGGGAATTCAAGGCAAAAGGAAAAGAAAAAAGGTGTGGAGAAGATGCATGAGAAGAAACTCTCAGAGCAGCATGAATGAATGTGGCACTGGGGACAGGGACTCTGGACAGTAAAGAGCTAAGAGGGAAGCAAAGAACAACATGGGAAGACTAGCAGGCGATACTAAAATGATATACACAGCCTTAAAGGTGAGGTGAAGGGGTTTGGACTTGTGTGGGAAGCCAGAGAAATGGTTCCAGGAGGTGAGCAGCACTTCAGGGGGGAGTGAAAGTTATTCCAGTAACAGGCACAAACACTGGGAGAGCTGGACATGGGGGAGGAGAAGAGCGATCCTCTGCTCTACTGACATCAAAGCAGGCCATACTCCCCTCCACAAAAGCATATCCCTACCAAGGCGGGAGAAATAGCACCATTTTAGAGGGGAGCTGAGGTACACGGGTGTATTTTCTGACTGGATCCAGGACATGCAGAAAGTCTGTAGCTGGGCAGGGAGCTGATCTCCCAGATCTCTTTATTTCTAGCCCAGCACTGTTTCCCCATTTGCTTGCCTTTCTCTAACCTTGCAACAGTTTGGCAAAGTCTCAGCTGAGGACTGGTAAGGAAAGGATATAGTGGGGCAATAATAAAAAGAGTAAAAAAAGCTGGTGTTAACTGTCCACAGAGGAGGGCACAGTTACCAGCTGCATAACAGTTACTGCAAGTCCTTTGCCAGCTGCTGCCTTCTCTTGTGGCCTCTGTTTTCCAAACATTAGGATGGAAATGATAACTGTGACCTTTCTCACAGCACTGTAGTAAGTCAACGCTAATTTCCTTCCATAGATGATGACACTTACGTGTGCCTGTGGACATGTACATATGTATGCATGCTTGAATATATGTCTACACGGCCCTGCTATGGCCCATGCAAAGCTTCTGATCAAAACTCCTCAGACATGTGACCCAAACTCAGATGCAAAACTGTTACCCCTTGAGAGTACACTAGACTGAGAACCCCACCGTTAGCAGATATAAACTGATTTCCCTGGGAACGCCCCAGCAACCAGCTGGGTACCTACGTGCATAGCCCTCCTTGTAAATAAATGAGGTCCCCAGACACCCTTTGTTGTAGCCCTGAAAATTTGGACTGCAGAAGCTTGACAAAAATCAAACTTCTTGTTATATTTCTTTGGGCTGCTTCTTCCCAACCTGCACTTGCTAGTAAAAGCCACAGACTGTGGAAACTAGTCTCCCAACAGCTTAATAACTCACATCGTGAGGGAGCGCTCTCAGCCAGGGGACCAGCTGCTTGCCCAGACCCCCACCAAACTGAAGCCCGTTCAGGGGACAAGGCTGCTTAGGGGTGAGAGCAGGTGCTGTGCGTTTCTCTCACCTCCTCCGTTCTTGCCGCAGAGATACGGGAAGCGCCAGACATTGCCCAGCCCAATGGCATAGCCCACACAGGACAGCAAGAAGTCAAATCTCCCCTTCCAGGAACCCCTGTCTGGGATCTCCTTCTTCTTCTTCTTGGTGCTCACAGCCTCCGGGGCGACGGGCTCTGATTCCTCCAGGGCTGCCTGCTTCACCTCAGAGGGGGAGTTCAGCTCCACAGAGGTGTTGTCCATCTTGCCCATCGTGACTCAGAGGGACGGCCACTCTGCTCAGGGGCTGGAGGAGCAGGAAGGGCAGCCTCTACCCTGGCCAAGTGCGGGTGAAGTGGGAAGCACTGGGCAAAGCTCCTGATGAGAAAGTAGAGAAAGAAGGTATCCTGTGTTAGTGTAGCAGGCTTAGGGGAGGGCCTTGCTGGGTCTGAGGTGGACTCACTGGATAGACTGGTGCACATCAGGGCAGTCTATCCATGCCTCCCTGCTTTCCCCAGACAGAAAAAGGAGGATGATTTTGCCTTGCTCCACAGCTGCCCTGCTGAGCAGTGATGGTCACGCAGACTGCTAATGGCAGGCTCAGATCTGGTTGTTACCAGCACATAGCAAACCCCTCAACTCTCATCTTATCTCCTCTTCATCCCAACACCTGCTCTGCAAAAAAAGCTCCAGGACCAGTATGCATGCAGGGAAGTCACAGCCTGTGGGTGACCCACCACAAAGCATTCCAGAAATATATCTGGTATGTCTGAGCAATGGTGGAGAAGGGCATGATGGAGGTGCCATGTCCCCCAGGCCTGCAGCCCAAAACTGGGTGCACTAGCCACGGAGCCATCTGAGAGATCATGTGGCCCAGGCAGCCATGCATGGCTGTGACAGCGTAGCTTCACAACGGCACATCCGCTACGGATGTGCCCCACATTGCAATCCTGTGCCCTAAGCCCCGTCATTGTGGTGACACGGCCACGATCACAGCTGTGCACCTACAATGTCTGGCAAGGAAATTGCTGATCTGCTCAGCACCTCCTTGTACACCATGTCACATGTGATACTGTAATTGCCAGGTGTATTCAGGTGATGCTTGCTAGTGACTACGGCCAGCCTGTGAACCACTGAAATCCCACTAAGGCAGGACTCCAAAGTCCTGAGGATTAGTTGGACAAGTCTGACTAAAAGTTTAATGAATATTTCCATTGATTTTAGGCCCTAAGAAGTATATAACCAGCACACCAAAACAATTCAGAAAGAAAATGAGAACAGGCTACATTATTACACCATTGTCTAAACCGATATTGCACTCATGTCTTGAAAACTAAGTGCAGTCCTCCCTTCCCCTTACAGAAGCTATTGCAAAGTCAGAAAAAGGCATGGAGGAGAGCCAAAAGGATGCTCAAAAGTGTGGAACATCTTCCATGTGAGGAAAAGCTAAATGAGCTAGGATCCATCATCCTGTGGAAGAGGTGACTGACAGGGGCCTATAAACATATCAGTGTCATAGAATACAAGTATTCACCATTTCTGACACAAGAACTAGGGGGGATTAAATCAAGACAGCAGGTGGTAGGTTCAAAAAGAGCAAAAGGTGATACTCCACAAAATGTACACCTATGGAGTGACTCCCCACCCCAGAACATGCTGGATGTTAAGAGTTTACATGACTTCAAAAAGGAAATTAAGAGGAAAAATAATGGAAGGAAAATCCACCGGGACCTACCACTGCTGTTCAGGAAATCCCTGAGCTGCAAGTTGTTGGAGGTTGAGGGACTCTTCCAAGGAAACATCACTCCCTACTTTTCCTGGTTTTACCCTCTCCCATCAGCATCTGCCCTCAGCCAGTGCAGAAGACAGGGTCTGGGACTGGCATGATGTTGACTCTCACCAGTTCTCAGCCCATTTTACACAGAGCCGAATTTAAGTCTCTACCAGGGGCTGTAAGGGCGACCAGTGCTACAGTCTCCCAGAGAAGGCTGTTGACAAAACCATTCCCAGATGCACACATTAAAAAAAAAAAAAAAAGAAAAACTGAGTGGGTATATCAGGAAACAAAGCAATGCTATGAAGAGGTGGCATGCTCTAGCAGTTAAAGCTGGCCTTGTTTGAGTTGCTTACGCTTGGCAGTCTTGTCTCCTAAGCAAACAGTACCTCTTTGCCCTATGGGATGCTTGGGGGACTCATTAACTAAGGTTTCTAAAGAGTCCTGAACAGAGATGGTATCCCAAGCCCAGGCTTAATGGCAGTATCAGCTTCTGCGTACTACAATTGACACCCCATGATTACAGCAGATGGATTTCCTTCCCCCCCAGAATTTGTCGCTGAGATTAGAAAAACTGTGTCAACTGTGAAGGGAATGGTTGAACCAGAAAATAACTGTAATTCATTCTGGTATATCAGTGGAGAAGCCAGAAAACTCCTTGCTGCGAGATGAACGCTGTAACCAAAGCCCTCAGAGCTATGGAGCCAGCCCCAAGCCTCACAACTCCTCTAGCCCAAGGATGGTTGCGGGCAAGCCCAGAAGCAGCAGCACAAAAAAGCCTTCTGGGGAGAAGAGACCATTTCACATAGCCCATGAGGCAGACACCAGAAGAAAAGCATTGCTGGACACACGAAGCAAAGGCTTTGGTTAACAGATCCCCTTTGTGTCGTACACCTTGCGATAGCACTGTCACACCAGCTCCTGTCTTCTCAGTAAGGCAGGGAGCAAAAAGATTATACAGAACATGTAGGAGGAAAGTAAAATAAAGACAATTTATAAATCAAAACAGAAGAAATAGCACCAAAACCCCTGGGAAGAATTCAGAGCTGGGCTAAGTCAGGATAATTAGCTATGCCTGGAGACATAACAAATTAGGCTTAGCAGAAGCCATTTTGACTCACTTTTTTTCTGAGACAAAAACCAGTAGGTAAGCTGCTATCTTAAAAAAGAATGTATATATCCCGCTCTCCCTGTGCTCTTTCCCCTGTTCTTGCTGCCACAGTTCTGCAGTGATACTGTAGCTAGATGATCACATCTCATATTTCATATACTTGGGGTAGGATGATAGAGGAGCAGCAGACCATACTGGCAGTTTCTTCTTACCTGACAAGTGAGGTCCTTCATCTCCAGCTCAGAAAGAACAAACTAGATTTATAAAGCTTTCTCCACAGTCAAGAAATAGAAAAACAGTCAAGAGGACCCACTGAAGGTTCATCCCACCTACTGTCTTGTCTCCTACAGTGATGGATGATTAGGGCAGAAGGGCTCACGCAAGTCCAGTAGCCCGGCTGTGCCATGTCCTTCCCCGGACACGCAGCTCTGACCAGGAAAAATACAGGCATCGATTGCTCCAGGCTAAGTGTTTGACTCCTGTGTTTAGACATCAGCTCACATGCTGGATAAGTGGTCCTACTGGGAGAAAATGCACCAGCCCCTCCGCTTATCCACATGGGTCTCCTCCAGCACAAGCACAGGGCTCTGCCCTGTGCTGACAGCCTAGAGAGAGTGGAGTCAGTTCAGCAGTTCTCTGTCATGTCACATTATTTGTTCTGAAAAGCATACAGCGCTTTGGGCACAGCAAAATGCCTGAAGGACTCAAAATGATAATCAATAAGAGCAGAGCTACAAGCTGGAGGTGGGTTCTGTTTTGCAATGACTTGAAAACAAGGTCAAAGAGTTTAAACATGACACTATAGCAGGTTTCTCATTCAGCTTCTTCTAAATACATCATATTCTGAAGCGAAGACTTTCAAAACAATCACTAAAAGCTAGGGTCATAAATCCCTGGCAGTAAAGTAGTGACCCGAGTTCCACCGAGTCATGCAGAAGGCCTGGTCTTCTGCTGCTCAAGTCAATAAAAACAACTGTGTGGTCCCCAGCGGGTGCAGAGCCAGGCTGAAATGCATTCTGGGAAACAGTCCTTCCCCTCCTTTTTTTGAGGAATTTCATTTCAAACAGGAAAATAGCCCTGAAAAAGTATTACCTCCACTTGAAAAGTTCCCGCCTGAAACTGCTAACAACAGTGACCTTTTTGCTTTCCCCTGCTTCAGTGTGAAATATTAACAGTCTCCTCAAATTTGACAGAAACCAAAAATTTCAAGGGCATAAAATTGCCTGAAATGAAACAGCAAAATTACCTGTAGAAACACATGTAAGAAATACTTTCACATCTCCCCACCTCTTATTTGTCAGTGCTTTAACAGCCACACAAATCACTTCTGACCCATGCAGGTAGACCCATAATTAGTTTAATTACATGGCACAGGCTGTTGTTCAGTCAATTAGACTTTTCCTTCCATCCACACCATTTTAATGACAGCCAAGTAGCCCCAAGGCTCTTACGTCTTGTTTAGAGCCGTGACCGGCTGATCAGGGCACAGCAGACTCTCGGCCGATTTTCTGCTCGCTGCAGCAGCAGCATATGCTTGAGCTTTCCGCATCCATGAAAGCCGGAGGGTCCGTGGAAGAGCCCCCTGCGAGACCCTGAGGATGCTGCTGGGGCACTGGCCCCACGTGGAGCCCGCTCAGGGCTGGAGCATCGCTGTCCTGCGCAGCTGGGTCAGGCGGACAGGGCTTGTGTTTCACAGCCCTCTCCACGTGCTGCCCAAGAGGCAGCCACTGCAGCCACCCAACCTTTCATCTCCCTTCCCCTGAAGAGAGATTGCTTGGTTACAGGAGAAACCAGCACTCACGGAGGAAGCGAGAAGAAAATGTCAGCTCTCCTGCGTGATGGAGCTGCAGGGTGGCCTCCACCTCCACCCTCCTTTTCCACCCTCATGCAAGAGATTTGAGTTGCTGATGTCCGTGTCTGACCTGCAGCTGTTGCCCAACCTCCTCCTCCACCAGCAGCCCCGGGTGACCACGTTGCTCCCGATAACGTGGCAGGTGAGGTTGGCACCACACCTCAACCCTACCCCGATGAGCAGAGGGGGCAAGGGGGACATGAGCCATGTTTTGTAAACCATTAAACGAACAGGACGTCCACACGAGGCCAGAATACATCTCCCAGCCCCTGGCCGTGATCCTGGGAGGGCTGCGGCAGTACCTCATGGCCCTGAAAAAACGGTGAAGAACTGCTGAGCTCCTGGTGCTGGCTGCAACCTACTGCATGGCCGCTTTACCAAGCAGCACCTTGATTTTTGCATTATGCACACAGGAGGAATTGGGTCAGCTATCGCAATGCCCTCCCTGGCTCCAGATGCCCACTTGAATCTCTTCTGGCTCCTCATCCCGCAGGGGGAAGCGGGGTCAGATCCTGCTCCAGCCGCAGGCTGTGCTT